AGGGGGGAGGGTCCCTGGGGGGAGACGAGGCCTTTGGGGGGACCCTGCAAGAAAATAAGGGGGTGACTCCAAGATCTGGGGGTCCCCAGGTGGGTGGGGGGATTCCCGGGATTTTGGGGGAGATTTCTGGGGTCTGGGGGGGGATCCTGGGATCTGAGAGGTTTTTGGCTCCTGGGTGGGAGGGTGCCCTTTTGTGTGGGTGGGTTACTGATATCGGGGGAGTTTTTTGCCCCCCCAGACGGCACTGGCGTTCCTGGGGGTCTCAGGGCTGGTTCACCACGCGCTGGGACTTGACGCCATCTTCGTGGACCCCGGGGGCGAGTGGAAGCTGGGGGGGCTCGAGAGGGTGGCGGCCACCAGCGAGGGGACCCCCACTCGTCTCCCCGGTGACCCCTCCCGGCCCCAGGACCCCCCCGAGCTCAGCGACCCTTCCCGAGGGCAGGGGGAGCCCTGGTGAGTTGGGAAGGGAAATGGGGGGCTGGCACTGGGAGGCTCAAGAGGGGCTGAGGGGACCACGGGGGTCCCCCGTGCCCCCTCCCCACTGTCACGGCCCCCCCAGGGCAGGGGACATGTGGCGCCTGGGCTGCCTCATCTGGGAGGTCTTCAACGGACCCCTCCCCCGGCCGGGGGCCCTGCGCAGCTTCGGCAAGGTCAGGGACCCCCCCCAGAAATCCTGGGCACCCCCAAACACCGGGATCCCTCCCCATTCCACTCCCCCCAAACTTCTGGATCCCCCAAATTCCTGGCTCACTACAACCCCCAGACTCTGGGGTGCCCCTGACCCCGTGTCCCCCTGTCCCCCCCAGCTGCCCCCCGGGCTCATCCCGCCCTTCTCGGAGTTGGTGGCGGCGGATCCGGGGGCCCGGCCGGGCCCGGGGCCACTCCTGGAGCGGCTGCAGTGCCCGGGAGCCTTCCTGGCCTGTGCGCTGGTGCGCACCGGGCTCTTCCTCGAGCACTTCCAGGTCTGGTCTCAGCCTCTTCTTCATCTTCAGCCTCGTCCTTGTCCCTGTTTTCTCATCTTTGTGCTTGTTCCTGTTCCTTATCTGTGTTCCCATCCTCATCGTCATTTCTTGATCCCTGTTCATCTTCACTCCCATCCCTGTTCCCTGATCATCACCATCCTCACTCATATTTCTTCATCCTCTTCCTCATCATCATCTCCATCATCCTTCCCATCCCAGTTCCCTCATCCCCCGATGTGTCCCCTGATCCCCGGTGTTTTTGGGACCCCCGGCAGGTCCGGGACCCCTCGGAGCGCCGGACGTTCCTGCAGGAGCTGCCCCCTCTCCTGGAGTCCCTCCCGGGGCCCTTCCGGCGCCACAAGCTGCTCCCGCGGCTGCTCGAGGCCCTGGAGCTGGGCAGCGCCGACGCCAGCGCCCTGCCCCCCCTGCTGCAGGTGGGACCCCCAAAAATATCCCCATAACCCCCCCGACCCCAAAAATCCCACCCACAACCTCCCTGCCCCCCCTGCTGCAGGTGAGACCCCCAAAAGTACCCCCGTAACCTCCCCGACCCCAAAAATCCCACCCAAAATACCCCCATAACCTCCCTGACCCCAAAAATCCCACCCACAACCTCCCTGCCCCCCCTGCTGCAGGTGGGACCCCCAAGCCCCCCCCAGTGACCCCCAAAGCTCTCCCTGCTCCCGCAGGTGGCGAAGGTCCTGGACCCCCCCGAGTACCAGGAGCGAATCGTCCCCGTCCTCGTCCGGCTCTTCTCATCCCCTGAGCGGGGCCTGCGCCTGCGCCTGCTGCAGCTGGTGACTGGGAGCACTGGGAGGGGACTGGGAGGCACTGGGAGGGAACTGGGATGGAGCTGGGAGGGAGTGGGAAGGACTGGGAGACTCTGGGATGGCACTGGGAGGGATGGGGGTGCTCCGTGGGGTTTGGGGAGGGGTCCATGGGTTCAGAGGAGGCTGAAGGGGGGGGATCTGTGGTTTTGTGGGGGGGGTCTCTGGGGGTGTTCAGGAATCTCATGACCCCCCCCCAGCTCGAGGAGTTCGTTGAGTTCCTGCCTGACGCCACGGTGGATTCCCAAATTTTTCCCCACGTCGCCCACGGGTTCCTCGACTCCAACCCGGCCATCCGTGAGCAGACGGTCAAGGTGGGCCGCCAGAATCATCCAGGAGCCTCCAAATAACCGGGGAACCCCCTTCCCAATCACCCAGCACCCAAAAAATCACCTGGGAACCCCCTAAATCACCCAGGACCCCCAGACCTCCTGGGACACCCCCAGAAGTCACCTGGGGATCCCTCAAAACCACCTGGAGACTTTTCTAAAATTCAAATTGCGACCCCCCAAACCCACCTGAGAATCCCCCTCAATCACCTGGGTGCTCCCTAAATGGGTGGGACAGAATGGGGACACCCCCCCCAAAACGGGTGGGACTTTTCGATCACCTGGAACCCTCCCCCCCAAATAATTTGGGAACTCGTTTCAAAACCACCTGTGGGCCCCCAAAATGAGTGGGACTCCCCCACCTGGGCACCCCTAAATGGGTTGGGTGGGGTAGGACCCCCCCCCCCAATTCCATCTGGGGGTGCCCCCTGACCCCTCCTGTGTCCCCCCCTCCCCCCAGTCCATGGTGCTGCTGGCGCCTAAGCTGGGGGAGGGGCGCAGGGGGGGGGAGCTGCCTCGGCTGCTGCTGCGGGTGCAGGGGGGGGACGCGCTGGGACCCCTGCGCTGCAACGCCACGCTGTGCCTGGGGCGCCTGGCCCCCCACCTGCCCCCCCAGGTGAGCTCTGAGACCCCCCCTGAACTTCCCCATAACCCCCACACTGTGCACATAGCTCCACCCCTGCCCCCCAGGTGAGCTCTGAGACCCCTGAACCCCCCCTGAGGCCCCCAGAATTTCCCCATAACCCCCCTGCTGTGCCTGGGGCACCTGGTGCCCCACATGCCCCCCCAGGTGAGCTCTGAGACCCCCTGAACCCCCTCTGAGACCCCCATAA